GAGATGAAGAGAAGGCAGGACCACAATGCAGTCTGAAGTCTTTAATGTAGTAGGGGTGGGTCATTAGCCCCTACCGAAATTATAGAACAGAAATAAGTTACAGTATTGCAGCTAATGTTCAGTGATGTATCAGTAAAGTCTTATGTTTATTATCTATTTAACATAACAGATTGAACACATATTCACTAGAAATTCTTAAACAAAAATTAAAAGATTTAGAACAAATATTTAGAACATTCATTTCAGTGACAGTCTTCATTCCTCCATGGTTCTAGAATAGCAAAATAAACTGAGTTTGTATCCAGTGCTAGACTCTTATTTTAAATCTAATAAATAGTGATATAACTAATAAATTAAAACAGACCCCTATGCCAAGTTGTATAAGTTACATAAATGTAAACATACATTGAAGCAAACCTAAAATCCTCATTCACATTCACTACAAAACTTTATGCAGCATAAACTACAGTATAAACAGTGTAAATATGTCTCATTTTGCAATGGACTTCAGTTGCATAAGCTAAAACTTGAAGCTTCACCCAAGGATTTAGCAGCCTGAAATTTACCCAGCATAATATAAAGAAGTTGTGTTACCCTCCATGCAGGGAAACTTGAGCGCCCACATGGCAAAAACACCTAGGCCACTGCCCCAAGCAATGTGTCCTTCCATCTGGAAACAGGGGGATTTGATAAATAGTCACTAGAAGATCATGTTACCACAAATTCTACACTGTTGTAGCCTCCTGAAGTAATTAAGTTATAACTATTAGAGGAAGAAACAAAACTATGAATTACTTTACAGTCCTTACAACTTGTACTATTTCTTGAGAATTTTGTATATTAACACTTCGTAATACCTTTGTAAATAATTCGGAAGCCCACCCTCTCCATGCCCCCCAACAAGAATGGATGTCATCACTGTAATCATCCTGGATAAAAAAGCACCTGCCACTCCAGGGGGAAGAAGCAACTAGAGTACACAGAATTTGATCATGAACAAGCCTCATTTTGTCTTTCCCTCCTAAGTTTCCAGTTCCACCTAAGCCTTTGTTTCAATTCAGAAAGAGAGACCATACCAGCAAAAAAGCAGAAAAACTGGCGGAGGTGAAACTTGATCACTACTTAACGTTGAGCAGAAAATAAGGACTTATTAAGCAATACTTCTAAATAATTTTCAGAATTCTAATCCTCTCATTCACTGACTTAAAAATAATGTATCTATTACTTAGGGGTCTGGCAAGGTAAAGGGCATCTCCTCTGATCTTTGCCCAAAAATTTTCCTAAAATACTCCATATTATAATATAGTTCATTATAATATATCCATATTATAAATGCATATATTTACTAACTTTCCTTAGGATGAAAAGATGGCTTAAATAATCATTCGCTTAGTTTTAACACCCAAAATAATGGTTGCTATGTAAATTCTAAGGTTTTTTCCCATAAAATAATAAAGAAGTTTAGAGGAAGCCAAAAATAATTTAAATGAATCCAAGTTTAATTTAAAAGTTACATCTAAAAGAAGAGATGTATAAAGCAGCAGTTGTAGACTCATTAATAAAATGGAAAAGCTGGTAATTAGAAAATTCATGTAATTGCATTGATATGCTAATCTAAATTTTATGTATAAAGTTAACTTAAAAGTATGTAGAATAAGTATTAATTCTGACAATAACACTTGCATGCATATGGTAACAATATTTAACTAAAGGTATTATTAAATAGCAAAGAAATACTATTAATTTATAAAGAAGGTAGTTTTTCTATTCAACTACTAAAGTCCCAATTCTAATAAAACATAAAAATTAACATACATTGAAGCAAACCTAAAATCCTCATTCACATTCACTACAAAACTTTATGCAGCATAAATTAAATAATTATGATTCATTTAATGTTTCATCTTTAGGTTCTTCATAATCTTCTTTGGGAAACATCCAAAGATAGGTTAATCTAAATTAAAAAATGACAAAATTGAATTCTTGTTAATATAAAATATCATCATCAGTAGTCACTGAAATTTTTTAGCATTTCTAAGGCTATAAAGCAACAGTTAGAAACTTCCTGTACTTAATTGTTTTAATGACTTTTACTTTCTCTAGTTGAACATAAAAAGTTTCCAACACACTCAGTGTGTAACTCATATTTTTCTTTTCAACTCCAACTCCTGCCAATACCTTTGGTGACTTCAACAGTCCCATTTACAAGAAACGTGCCACAGAAACATTGTATCACAGGCCTCCGCCTCCAGGCCACCTACTCACAACCGAGGCCATTGCCTGGACAGTCATCACTGGAACCTGTGCTTTACCTCTAGGTGCTGAAACTTTTCAAATGTTCCTAGATAACATATTTGTATGCTCCTACTTTTTAGACCCCTATACTCTCACTAAGGAAGGTCTCTGCCCTCCTTCAAACTCCCAATCCCGTGATCTTCTGCAAGTTTCATTTGTCTCCCTCCTCAGCCCCACAATAATTTCTCATTACTCCTGACTCCAAATAATCCCCGTAATCCCTATAATCCCTGACTCCAAAACCGAAATTCCTCTTTATCCTCAGCATTGCCTGATACTCTGTACTCAGTCCCCTCCTCTCTCTTCATCTTCACATTAAAGTTTTCATCTACATCTACTGTTAGAACTACATATGACCTTTATGCACTGCAGATATCACACTACCTCCCTTACAACACTTCCAATAACTTGCTTAGCATTTTTGCCTGGGTACCTCACTATTACCTAAAATTCAACATGCCAAAAGTAAAACTCAGTACCTTCACGAAATGAGTCCTTTCTCCTGACTTCCTTATTTCTTATTCACTCTCAAAACTCAGTATCATCTTATCCCCATAGCTGATCATTTGTCTTCTCTCTGCACCCTCTGCAACCCTCATTTAAGTGCATTTTACTTTTCACTTGGATGCTTTACAATCCCCAGATTTTCTTTTTCACCTCCTATTTCACCTCCATTCCAAATATTTCCACAAATGACATCATATTCTTTCTAAAATGCAAATCTGATAGCTCCACTGCTTTAAAATGTTCTTTATATTCATAAAGAAACAAGATATTTGCATACCCTTATTATCTTCCTATAAAATACTTATTAATTACAAAAGGAAAAATAGTAACTATAAATGGATAACAACCAAGAGCTCAAAGTTAACATCATCAATAAGGGATCAGTGAAGATCACATAACTCAAGATGCGATCCTTTGGAAAGTTATATTACATATACAACGTTCCGGCCAAAAAATGCATAACATGAATCAAATCATAAGTAGGCATCAGCAAGTCTTGAGAAATAGCCTGAAAAAATGACTGGCCTGTATTCTTCAAAAATATCAGTATCAAAAAAGACAAAGAAAGCCTGAAAAACTGCTACAGATTACAGAAGACCAAAGAGACACGACAACTAAACACAATACATGATCCTGAACTGTATATCTAGCAGCAAAATTTAAAAAAAAATTCCTACTAAAGACACTAATAGGGGCAATAGGAAAAAAGTGAAATGTAGGTTATAAATTATGTTTCATATTGATGTTCAATTTCCTGAATTTGATAACTGTAGTGTGGTTACACAAAAAGATACCCCTGCTCTTAGGTTACACACACTGAAGTATTTATACACAGAGACAGAAGAAGAATGAGCAAGCAAATGTGGCAAGATGTTAAAAAGCAGCATATCTTAGTAAAGAGTATATTGGAGTGCTTTGTATTAGCCTAATAATCTTTCTGTAGATTTGAAATCATTTAGAATAAAAGATTAAGAAAATGATCCATTTCTTCATTCCCTACTGAATGAAGTACAAATCCTCTGCCCAAAATTCAAGTTAGACTCTTAGAAATACTATCTCAGTATACTTTTATAACTTTCTTAGGTTACTGTGTCAAACAATCTTTAATCAAAGTGTACATTCCCTACACGTACATTCCCTAAAGGTTTTCTTGACTCCATGAATTTGCTCATGTTCATGTCTAAAATATACTCTCAGCTGGACACAGTGGCTCATGTCTGCAATTCCAACACTTTGGAAAGCTGAGGCAGCAGGATTACTTGAGGCTAGGAGTTCTAGACCAACCTGGGCAACATAGCTAGATCCCCAACTATACAAAATAAAAATTTAACTAGCCAGGCATGGTGGTGCATACTTGTAGTCCTATCTACTCGGGAGGGAATGCTGAAGTGGGAGGATCACTTGAGCCCAGGAGTTAGAGGCAGTAGTGAGCTATGATCGAGTGACTATATTCCAGGCTGGGTACAGAGTGAAACCCTGTCTCTTTAAAATAAAAAAATTTTAAAAAAAGGATAACTGTATGTAGATTTCAGTAGATCAGTAGAGGTGACAAAAAAGAAAGTAGTAGTAGACAGCCTAAAGAAAATCAGAGGTACATGACCAGAGGTCAAGGGTAGGATGGAGATTTAAGGGTAATATACCCAGGAAGAGTAGTTGAAGCTATAAAAATCTGTGAGTTATCTCAGAGTGAATATGTAAAGAGAGAATGGGGACAACAATTACTCCCAGGACAGCATTTGTTATTAGATGGTAGCAAAGGTAAATATTGTAAGTGAGGCAGGACAAGGGCCATAACACAGCCTGCACTGCAGGACACTAAGAAATAAAAAGGAGCAGTAGTAAGATAGCATGAAATACGACAATATATTCAAAGGAAAAGAGAACTAAGTAGAGGTATAAACAAAAAGAAGAAGATTCTGCCCTCAGAGGGTACAACAGAAAAAAAGAAAGAAGGAAAAACATGGAGCATAATAGCATGACAGACATGGGGCCCAAATGAAGTTTTAAAGGTCAGTAAGTATTTTAACGAGCGCCTACTATGTGCCAAACATTGGATTTAAGAAAGGAAATTGGCTGGAATTAGCAATAGTTGGTTATACACTAATGTCTGGAGAAGGAAGAATATAGAAGGGAAGGGAAAAAAAATCTATACTCTATAATTATTACCTAAATAGAGTCTTACCAGAAGATAAGAAGATTCATCTTGTATAATTTGAGCCTGCAAACAACATAAAAAATAAGGAAAATTTAAGATGGCCTCTAGCACTGGTTTTCCCATTAATAAATACATATTATGGAATACAAGTTATAATACATTTTTAAACATAATTATGAGTTTTATAAAGAAGTTCTGTAATCTAGTTTAACACTGTAATGTAAAATAATGAACTTGCTTAGAAGAGGCTATTTATGGAAAACACAGCATATCATTTTAAGTTGTTAAATAATCCTTACAAGATTACATTTAAGAGAGGGCCTCTTGCTGAGGCAGAAAAGAATCCAACAAGTTCAAAGTTATGCAGTGATCTGAACTAGCACTCAGAAGCATGTCCAGGTTTTGTGCACACTGCTCTGCCGATTCAAACATCCTTTTTGTTTAAGACACTTCTGACTACTTTTCTTTTTCCTATCCACCCCCCACCTCATTCTCCTCCTTTCTGGATAAGAAAAGTGAAACACATTTTCACTAATCTGCCATTATTGCAAACAATTCATGCTACCACTGATGCAATATTATATGAACCGTAAGTTTCCACTGCTTGCAAAATGGCATTCTGTTTTCATGATTATCTTATGAAAATATTCTTCGTGAAATTACATATTGCAGTTTTACTGACTATGAAACAGAAGTTGCCATAGAATGACTGTACTAAGAACTCACAGAAACATTCATGATAGCATGTGCAGGAAAGAAAGGAAAGAAATGTATGTCAAGGAAAGAAAATAACTTGTGATTTATCAATTCACATGGCATTATTAGTTACATAAATTTTATCCAACTTAATTTTTTGAAAATCCAGAACTACAAATTATTTTAATAAACACACCAGACTACATCTAATTTTGCTCTGACCACGATATCAACTCAATAGTGATGCAGCTTTAGAGCACGGTTTAATTCATGAGTTGTTTTCCAGGAATGAAATAATGACATCAAGGCCATAACTCAAGGGCAGATTTTGTAAAATACATTAAGCAGGAGTGTAGCTTCCATGGATAGGAAATGACTTCACCAAGTGACACAATGTATAATTTTATATTGCAGTTAAAATGTTTTTCTCCATCAATACTGATGAGCTTTGTAATTTCTATTTTTTAATTGCCATTAAGATTCACATTTAACAGAAAAGTATGTTCCCTTTGCTAAGTAAATTCCAGTCATTCCTTCTACATTCCTCCACTCACTCCTATACCTGTGCTCTCTGCACTCACTGCTTCTAGGTACTCTGTACTTGTAATTATGATGAACAGTGATAATATGCTAGTTTCATTTCTATAGTTCTGTGTATTGAATGTGACAATTAAGAAAACTGCTGATCTCATGCGATCCCAGGATAACTAAACTGTTACAGAGGCCACTCTTTTTAACACAATAAAAATTATGTTAACTTACTTTCACTAGATAACCTTTGGCATTTCAGCCTGTGTCTATATTTTTCATTTTCTTCAAGCATTCTTGAAATGACTTTGTATACTCTATTCCATACTAAAACCTTAAAAAGATAAGCACAGTAAAAGAATGCTGAGCAGAAAAGTAGGAATATATTTTCATGGAGGCAACCGGGAATGACTCAATTGTGTTGTATGTCAATTGATATCATCATTATAAGGCTATATCAACATTTAGAGAACTAAAACCTAAGTGTAATTGTTTACCCACAATCACTGAAATATCTGTTCTCTTCTTTGAAATTCCTAGAATTTCCCCCCTGTAGTATTTAAATTAACAGTCCTGGATGAAGTTGCCTTTCAAAGGCAATGACTATAAAGTCCAACCTAATTGATTCTAACACATTCCATTCTGAAAGGCAACTTTTAAAAATTGTGAATTTATATTCCCATGATTAAACCATTGGGCAATGATTTTATTTTTAAATGTATTTTATTCCAGTTAAGAACTAAATATTTCTCCTAGGACACACCAAAGCAATAGGACTAGAGAACGTAAATATACTGGCAGAGAAAGAACAAGGATTATAGAATTAAACAAATACATCTAGGCTCAAATTCTGGCTTTGCCATTTTCCAGTTGCCTGACAATGGGAGAGTATTTTAATCTCATCTAGGAATAACTTCATACACTGGATTATAAGAATTAAGGAAAAAATATTTAATACATATGTAAAGCACTTACCCCAGTATCTGGCACACACTAATTAAAAGGAAGTATTGGTTATTGCTCTTTTCTCCTCACCTAAAAGGAACTGGTTCTCAGAAGAAACATCTCTTAGTACAGTAGGAAAATTAGATGCTCACTCAAAATATATTTGGTACAAGAGTTAATAACCTCTAATGCTATTTTATACCATACACAGATATCAAACAACTCAAAGCTCAGAAACAACACAATGTTATGTGTCACTATCAACCAATAATTTCTTTAAACTGAATATAAATGATGCTATGAAGTATAAACATACAGTGGCAATCAAAGATTTGCAGAGCATCTGATCTTGAATATGTTCAAAACACTCAAGTTACCATGACATTTGGACAACTAGCAGTGAGAACAGTTCAGCAGCAGTGGATCATCCTTCTCAGATTGCCTGCTAGAAACCTCTTACATATTCCTTGTCTTTAAAAAGACCACTATAGATACATTATTCTTTTCTATGAAATCTGTGATTTTCTTCTTATACTACATTATCTGTCACAGTTTATTATCTTCTATGGAACATATATCATGCTTTGAAAAATCCTCCAATGGGGTTACATTTTGATTAAAAATGTGTTTTATACCTTCACTGGTATAACACTGGAAGGACAATTCTTTATGGTTAATAAATATTTCCAAACCCAGTTCCATTTCTGCTGAATTTCTTCTGTTTCTCATTTCAGAAAATTAAATTATTCAAAAGACGGAACTACTGTCACTGTCTTGAATATCTTTACACATTTGTATTTAGAGAGGATGATCTAAAATTCAAATATTGCTCATTCTCCTTCATAGCAATATACCTTTTTCTTTTTCTTCATTATTTTGGAAGCTTCATTCAATGGTATGGGAAAATCAAACTTTTTAGCTGCATCCTTCTGGATTAAACCTAATAGTTAAGAAGAAAGTGAAAAGGTCAACATATGTAAGGATTTACTATTTGAAAATAGAGACCATATAAATGTGCCCTGGGTCTCTTTGAGGATTTTTATACTTGTTGGTATATTTCTGATCACCAGGTAATACTGGTTTACCAGTTCACTAACAACATGTTGAAAACAACCAAGAAAACTAGACATAATCTGGCAAGTAACTAGAAAATCATCCAGCTAGTTCAGTCTTCCTTTTCTGGTTTGTAAGGCTAGTCCCAAAAAGACCAACAACAGAATGAACAAATACCAGATAACACATCTTGCCCCAGTGTATCTCTACAGTCTCCATTCTTCTCAGTGCAACTCCAGACAGACACTACACTTCCAACTACACAATACTACACAACACCTTGTGGTTCCTCAAATGTATCTAATTCCTAAGACTTTCAGCGCGCGCGCACACACACACACACATACACACACATACACACACCCACACACCTCCCAGGCAAATTTCTACCTGTTCTTCAAGACTCAGCTCACACGTACCTCTTCTCTACAGCCTTCCCTCAAGCACACACAGTTCAACACCCAGCACTGGCTCCCAGAACACCTTCACAGCACTCAGCCCACCTTTTTATCACGCGTTTCCTCCACTAGGCTCTGACCTCCTGGAGGGCAGTGGTCATGTGTGTCTTACTCATCTTTCCACTCATACTACCACACACACAGTAGAATAATAAGGGTTATCCAGAGTGAACGGGCTACCTGAATACTCACTAAACCATGCTGCCTTCCCAAATGTTAACTGTTAGAAGAAAACCCAAGGGTTTGTTTTTCCAAAGACAAAATTATAAAATAATGAGCATGTGTTCCCCGAAAGCCTTTATACTGGCTCTCATTTTGTCTAGAATATTCCCTCACCTCAACCCTTCCCCACCTTGTTCCTGCCCTACCACTGCTCTATATCTCACTTGCTTCTACTCATTCAATACTTAGCTTTCCAGGGAGCCTTCTCTGATCTGACAAAGCACCCTCTGCTCAGGTATCACAGGATTTATGACTCCGTTTACTTGAGGAGTGTGTGTTATTCTTCACTGGAGATCCAGTATCCAATTCTATAGATATTGGCTATACAATAAGTATTCCATTTACTGAATAAACTAGAATATGCTCTAAAATGGCATTTCTCAATTTGTGAGAAGCATGCCACTGATTTGGAGCAGGTCACAGACATACAGACATAGCACTAAGGAATATTAACTCATGTGGTGAGAAACTCATTCCCTTTCCAGTTTTTTTCAATCTTCTGATTACCTTTGGGAGAAAGTCTAAGTTTGGTGCCAGCATGTCATTAAGACTTCTCTAAGACTTGTTCGTCTCCCTTTGTGACCACAGACACTCTCAGCAGACAACCTACTTAGCTAGAATTTAATAATACTGTTTTGCCTTTATTATATTTGTTTCTAATTAATTTCTATTTATAGCAAATGGTACAGGTTTTCCACTGAAGTAATGATTTAAAGTGTTCTAAAAAGAAATTTAATTAAAAGGGAAAATGTACCTATTTAAATAAATACATTAAGTAAATAATAGTACAGATGATATGTAGGTATGGCATAGGAAAATAAGTTTGGGAAACTCTGCTCTCCACATACCCATATCTATCATTCCCTCTAAATGCCTACAACCTTTGGAATACTATATTTGCATCATTCCCAAATGCTTCTTGTTTGTAAGTCTTACCCAACATAAACCTATACTCCTTGAGAAAGCACAGGAGTCATCGAGTCTACCCCCAAGTAATTACTTGGGGATCTAAAATACAACAAGTACAGAAGATATGAAAAAGAAAAAAGACGTATTTCTTCACTCATTTTGTGTATTGTACTGAGACTAGCTCCAGTGTATTTCATGGATTTCGTCCTGACTTATGTTTCAAATCTTTCTCTAGTCCTCTTTCCACCCACTCCAACCCAGTCATTCTTCCTAATTGCTGCCCATCACTGATCCATACTCAGTGCTTTGTTCACATGTTTTCCCCACCTAATTCTCCTATCTCAGCCCCATGTGTAAATCTCATGGAGCTTCCACCACCATGAAGCCCTCCCTGATACTCTCATTCCCCAAATTATTCACCACTTCCAAAGCATTCATTTGTACTTCCACAATAGCATTCATCATCTCCCATTATGTATAAATTATAAATGTAGCTTTCAAGTTCTGTAAGGACAGGGAACTGGCCTGATTTATTAGTCTTATTTGAAATGTTAGAAGAGTTGATTTGCCTACTCCTGAATCTCTAAACTTCAGTACATTTTCCAAACAGCTTACAGTTTATCTTCCAGAAGTGTAGCTGTCTCTGATAACTTTATTCCACCCCACCATTCAAAAATCTTCAGTGACTATAAAATGACAGTCTTCAAGGTATTCCATAATGTGGTCCAAAACTTACTTTTCATTCATTCAATAAACAGTACATGTCCACTGTGTGCTAGACATGCTAATCACCATCTTCCCTTCAAGCCATCTCTGTTCAATGTGCCAGCATTTACTGGGCACTTATTCTGTGCCAAACACTGTGCTAGGCACTCTGCAGGTATTACTTCATTTAACCTTCACAGCAACCCTTTAAGGTAAGAACGATTACCCCCATTTTATAGATAAGGACACTGAGAATAATAGTGGTTAACTAACTTGGCCAATATTATCCTGCTGATAAATGACAGAACCAAGGATTATGTCTTTCTGACTTCAAAGCCAATGCTCTTGATAACCTCTACTGTCTCACTAGTGATTTCTCTATTCATGTCCCCCGATTTTCTGCATCTATGCCTCTTCTTTCCTTGAACTTGACTATCAAAGCTATTCTCAGCTCACTCTTACAACACTCATATCTACTAGTTTATATTCCCATTATTCATTAATAAGTCCCTTGAGAGCAGACTACTTGTCTGACACATCTGTGTCACTAACACCTGACCTAGGGCCCACAACATGATAAGTTTTAAGTAAATGTTACTGAAAAAATAATTCATTTTTCCCCCATAGAGGGTGACACATTTAATTAATGTCTATTTAATACTAACATTAAGGGCTGGGTGTGGTAGTTCACACCTGTAATCCCAGCACTTTGGGAGGCCAAAGTTGGTGGATCACCTGAGGTCAAGAGTTCAAGACCAGCCTGGCCAACATGGTGAAATCCCATCTCTACTAAAAATACAAAATTAGCCGGGCATGGTGGCACATGTCTGTGGTCCCAGCTACTTGGGAGGCTGAGTCAGGAGAATCACTTGAACCTGGGAGGCAGAGGTTGCAGTGAGCTGAGATCACACCACTGCACTCCATCCTGGGAGACAATGCGAGACACTGTCTCAAAACAAAAACAAACATTAAGTACACCCAAGACTGAGTAAAATCTAAGCACTTAAGCACTTTCTGGCTTGGTTTAGATATAAGTCTACCCCAGGACCCCCTTCCCTTGACTATATCCTTGGCTTTGCAAGCACAGCAGGGTGGTCACTGACGTTAGTAGCTCCATTATCCATCCAGTTGCCCAGCACAGAGACTTCAGACTCGACCACAATTCTTCCTTCTCTCTTTCAGTAAGCTATGCGATCCTGTCCATTCTGCCTCCACTGCCAATGCCTTAGTTCAGGCCTTCACTCTTTCCACTGGGCTACCGTAACTGCCTCGTAACCATTCTCTGGACTCCAGTCTCTCCCACCCCCAAATTCCTTTGTGGCAGGGGTAATATGATCAGATCCAGAGGAAGGAGAACTAGGAGGCGGGAGTGGCTGGACCGAGAAGCAGCTCCAAAATACTTCCCAAAGCCAAACTTGCACCAAAAAAAGATCATGGTTACTGTTTGGGGGTCTGCTGCCAGTCAGATCCACTATAGCTTTCTGAATCCCGGCAAAACCATTACATCTGAGAAGCACGCTCAGCAAATCGACGAGATGCACCAAAAACTGCAATGCCTGGAGGCAGCACTAGTCAACAGTAAGGGCCCAATTCTCCACAACGACAACAGACCATACACTGCACAACCACCGCTTCAAAAGTTGCACAAATTGGGCCACAAAGTTTTGCCTCATTCACCATATTCACCTGATCTCTTGCCAACCAACTACCACTGCTTCAGGCATCTGGACAACTTTTTGCAGGGAAAACGCTTCCACAACCAGCAGAACACAGAAAATGCTTCCCCAGTGTTCATCAAATCCCAAAGTGTGGACTTTTATACTACAAGAATAAACACTTATTTCTTGTTGGCAAAAATGTGTTGATTGTAATGGTTCCTATTTTGATTAATAAAGATGTGTTTGAACCTAGATACAATGACTTAAAAGTCAAGGTCCAAAACCACAATTACTTTTGCACCAACCTAATAAACTATCAAGGTAAATTTAGTTCTGAAAGAATAGCAATGGCAGGCCGGGCGCGTGGCTCCAAGCCTGTAATCCCAGCACTTGGGAGGCCGAGACGGGCGGATCACGAGGTCAGGAGATCGAGACCATCCTGGCCTAACACGGGCCAAACCCTGTCTCCTACTAAAAAATACAAAAGCTAGCCGGGCGGGTGAGGCGGGGCACCTGTGGTGCAGCTACTCGGAGGCTGAGGCAGGAGATGGGGCATTGAACCCGGGAGGCGGAGCTTGCAGTAGGCTGAGATCCGGCCACTGCACTCCAGCCCGGGCTACAGAGCAAGACTCCGTCTCAAAAAAAAAAAAAAAAAAAAAAAGAATAGAAACAAAATATTTACATCTTTTTCAACTTGCTTGAGATTTTTTTCAGTCCTTACCTGCCTCTAAGTCAATCTCCCCCTGTACAGCACAGACTAATAATTCTGACCCTATACTTTTCTTTTTTTTTTTTTTGGAGACAAAGTCTTGCTTGTCCTCAGGCTAGAGTGTGGTGGCACGATCTCGGCTCACTGCAACCTCCACCTCCTGAGTTCAAGCCATTCTCCTGCCTCAGCCTCCTCAGTAGCTGGGATTACCTTTGTGACCGCCACCACACCTGGCTACCTCCTGAGTTCAAGCCATTCTCCTGCCTCAGCCTCCTCAGTAGCTGGGATTACACGCGCGTACCACCACACCTGGCTAATTTTTGATTTTTAATAGAGATGGGGTTTCACCATGTTGGCCAGGCTGGTCTCAAACTCCTGACCTCGTGATCTGCCTGCCTTGGCCTCCCAAAGTGTTGGGATTACAGGCGTGAGCCACTGTGCCTGGCTCCTATCACTTTTCTTATTCACAATCTTTTAATGCAGGGCTTCTGGGTAGCTGAAGACAACAGTAAGCAAAAAACCACACCCTCAGCATTACTTTAAGACAAAGGATGCTGAAGCTGCAAAATAACTGTAAGTAAAATGAGAGAAAAACATTAAATTGCTGCTCTATGATCCCATATGCCCTAGACCTAAAGGGGCTCTGGCCAGCAGGGAAGAGAAACTAGAAACACTACAAAAATGCCTCAAAAGAGCTGAAGTGACCAATATTAAGATTACATGCATTCTAAATCTGAAAATACTAAAAAAAATAACTAGGCAAATCAGAGTACAGAGTATAGGGAAGAAATTTAAAGAGACAGACACAACACAGAATGCCAAGCATGCAATATAATAGACAGACTCAGTTTAAAGGGGCAAGCAAGATTTAAAGGAGCAGTCTTCCAATGGCATGGTTTCTGAGGTGAAAAGAACAAAAAGGATGATAAGTTAGGTCACAGAGAAAACACCAGTAACATCCATAAAATGAAGGCATCACAAACAATACTCTTGATCACAATAAACCTACCGTTTACTAGCAAAAATTAAAAATAAAACTCTGAGACTCTCTGAAAACTTAAAAAAATTAAATCTATTAAGTAACTATGGAAAAGAGTTAAAAATTACAGAATTTCTTTTAAAAATAGTGACAATGAAAACACTACATATTGGAAACTATGGGATGTATTTAAAGTAGTGGTTAGAAGAAAATTCATTGCACTAAACACTTAATAACAAGAATAAAAATAAATGAATTAAATGTCCTGCTCACAAAAAAAGTATAAGAAGAACAAAGTAAACCCAAAGAAAGAACAAGAAATAATAATATTAAAAGCAGAAATTAATGAGGAAGAGACTAGAGGAACAAAATATCTAATTAATAAATCAGAACCTTGATTTTTCTTTTTAGAGACAGGTTCTCACTCTGTCTCTCCAGGCTGAAGGCCATATCATAGCTCACTAAAGCCTTGAACTGCTGGCCTTAAGCAATCCTCCCGTCTCAGCCTCCCAAAGTGGTAAACTTAGAGGTGTGAGGCACTGTACCTGGCCAAAATCTTAGTTTTTAAAAAAAAATTAACAAAACAGACAAAATGTTGGCTAATTTGATCATGAAAAAGGGAGAGTGCATGTATATTCAGGAAAAGAAATGACAAGAGGGAAATAACCATTAAAATGCAAGAAAATGTTTAAACATCATAAGACACTACTTTGCAGACATCTATGCAAATGAATTTGGAAACCCAGATGAAACAGATAATTCCTTAAGGAAATACAGGTTACTAAAATTGACCTATTAGACTTAGGAAGCCTACAAAAGTCAATCTCCATAGAAAATATAGAGAAGGTTATTAAGGAATTATCCCACAAAAAGCACTAGGTCCTAATAGTTACAGAAGAATTCTACCTAAGCTTCAAAGACAAGATAATCCCAACATTCTATAAATTATCCAAGAGCATAGAAAAGGAAAAACTCCTGATTCCTTTTATGAAGTAAACACAGCTCTGATACCTAAACCTGATAAAGGAGTACAAAGAAAAACTAAAGATCACTATCCCTCCTGAATACTGATGCAAAAATTATAAACAAATTATCAGCAGAGTCCAACACTGTATCAGGAAAATAACACACCAAAACCAAGTAGAATTTACTTCAGGAATGCAAGGTTGGTACAATAATCAGAAATCCATTTATATTACATTCCATATTAATAAATAAATCTGAAGAAAAAGAGTATCTCCATAGACCTGAGACATCCTCTGACAAAAATCAACACCCATTAATGATAAAAAAAAAAAACACTGAAAAAATAAGTATTGAGGGATACTTTGTAATATTTGAAATATATAATCCTTAGTCAGATAGCCAGTACCTTATTTAATGGGGAAACACTATAGGCATTTCCCCTATGGTCAGGAACAAGGCTAAGGTGCCCGCTATCTCCAATAGTATTCAACATTGCCCTTGAGGTATTAGCAAATGCAATTAGACAAAATAAATCTATTGCAGGCAAAGAATGGGTGAAAAAGAAACAAAATCGTATCTCTTTACAAATAATATATATCGATACCTGGAAAATCATGAGAATCAAGGATAAAACTAATAATAAAAGTGTCCAGTGAGTTAATAGGATCTAAAATTAGCATACAAAAACCAATAGGCTAAGTGAAAGAAGCCAGTCACAAAAGCCCACATACTCTATGATTCAACATACATGAAATGTCCAAAATGGTTAAATCTACGGAGACAGAAAACAGATTAGTACTTGGTTAGGGCTGAGCTTATGCGTAGAGGGCAAATAGGGAGAATGGTGAGCAATGTTTAATGGATACAGGCGTTCTCTTGGGGTTAAAAATATTCTAAAATAGTGGTGATGGTTACACAACCATGAATATGTCAACTAAGCATGCAAAATGGGTGAACTGTATGCACTGCGAACTATAGTTTAATAAAGTTGTTATTTTATAAGTACAGGTGATGGAAATGTTCTACATCTCGATTATGGTGGCAGTTACTAGGGTGTGTATAAATCTGTCAAACCTCTTCAAAACATATGTAAATTAATCCTCAGTAAAGTTGATTTAGAAAAAACAAGAGAGGGCTGGGCGTGGTGGCTCATGCCTGTAATCCCAACACTTGGGGAGGCTGAGGCGGGTGGATCACCTGAGGTCAAGAGTTTGAGACCAGCCTGGTCAACATGGTGAAACCCCATCCCTACTAAAAATAGAAAAAAAATTAGCTGGGCGCAGTGGCAGGTGCCGGTAATCCCAGCTACTTGGGAGGCTGAGGCAGAAGAACCACTTGAACCAGGAGAGTGGAGGTTGCAGTGAGCCAAGATCATGTCATTGCACTCTAGCCTAGGCAACAGGGCAAGACAAGGAAAAAGAAAAACCAAGAGAGGCCTGGCCCAGTGGCTCATGCATATAATCCCAGGGCTGGGAGGCTGAGGCAGGAGGATCACTTGGGCCCAGGAGTTCAAGACCAGCCTGGGCAACATAGGGAGACCCCCATGTCTATAAAAGATAAAAAAGTAGCTGGGCATGGGGGTGCCCACCTGTGGTCCCAGCTACCCGGGAGGCTGAGGTCAAGGCTTCAGTGAGCCTGCGATTGGACCACCACACTCCAGTCTGAGTGACGCAGCAAGAACCCGTCTCAAAAAAAATAAATTGGCTTCCTGTACACAATAAGCATTTAGAGGGCATTGCGTAAAAAGAACCCCCATTTACAACAGCAAAGAAGATTAAATATTTAGGAATAAATTGATCGAGACATATGCAAAACCTGTGGGAGGCTAATTTTTGAATTTAAGACATTTCCTGATTTAAACGTAAAGCTCATGCTGTTTTTAGTCAGGATGACTCAACAGCACCCAGAAGTCAGTCCTCCAGGTGAGGGGCGTTCACGAAGTCAACCAATCTCCCTCCGCCAGAACGGCAACACGCAGGACAAAGCCTCCGCGAGGGGGCCGTAAAGGCTCCATTCAACAGCCTCTCCTCTTATGTCAGGTGCCCGCCCCGGCTACCGCTAGTCCTCTGAAGGGAATTACTGGGCTTCTACTTTGCCCGCGCGTGCTCGCAACACGGCTTGACAGGAAAGCCGCCCCCAACCTCCCACGTGCCGCAAGATGGCGCCCACCAGGTGACCCCACCGCGCCCCGACCCGCCCCGTCCCGCCTTGTCCGGTCTCACCGCGCCCCGTCCCACCGCGCCCCGTCCCACCGCGCCCCGTCCCGCCCCGTCCGGCCCCGCCATGCCCCGTCCCACCGTGCCACCTGCACGCGCCAACGGTCTGGTGCCGCTTCGCACGCTCGACGTCCGCAGCTGGGAGGAGGCAGGGGCAGCGGCCTCCACACCAAGGGTCGTGGCGACCCTGGGCCGGGAACCGGAGGGCAACTCACTGCCACCCTGGGCTCCCGCCACCGCCGGTGCTTCCCTCGGCTTCTCCTGGCGACAGCCAGCCCTGGACCCCTGACCCCAAAGGCCTTGAGCTCCGCGGCCGCCCAGCTGCAGGACGCCACCGCACTGATGCGAGCCGAAGCGCGTCACATAGACGAAGCGCGCCGAGTCCTGCTCCCGACCCCGGCCTGCCGCCGCCATCGCAGCCTCGGTCAACGGCTGCCCGGCCCTCAGCAAACACGATGCTCCAGGCGCCGGACGGCCCACTGTGCAGTGGAGGGGTGCGGGGAGCGGTTAGGGCCAGACCACCCTGCGGGGATTGCGGGGAGGGAGTTAGGGCCGGACCACCGCGCGAGGATGCGGGAGGGGGTTAGGACCAGACCACCCCGTGGGGATAATGGGGGAGGCACAGGGTTAGGGCCAGACCATGGCGCCGGGATGAGGGGGACAGGTTTAGGGCCGGACCACCCCCTAGGGATGCTGTGACGGGGTTAGGGCCAGACCACCGCATGGGGATGCAGGGGAGGAGGTTAAGGCTGGACCATCCCACAGGGATGGGGGGGATGGGGCTAGGGCAGGACCACCCACTAGGGATGGGGTGACGGGGTTAAGGCCAGATCACCACATGAGGGTAGCGGGGACCACCATGCGGGGGTGGGGGGCAGGGAGGTTAGGGCCGGACCACTGCGGGGGCCCGGAGGGAGAAAGCTGGGCTTGAGGAGCGAGGGAGCCGGTCACTGTGTGGGCTGCAGGAGTAGGGGAAGGGCATGCTGCTGGCAGGTGAGAGGCCCAGGAGAGATGGAGAGAAGTGGAAAGAGGGCGGGTGCTGGTTGGGGACGATGACGAGGTACAGACCCCTCAGAGGAAATGAGCTACTCCAGGAACAGGGTGGGAGAAAGGGACCAGGTCACTACTAGGGAGATACCCCCATGCTTGGGTACAGGAGGATTTCAGAGTGAGGAACCCACACAGGACTTGAGCAGCCTGGAGCATCAGCCACGTGAATCTGGGAGCCTGGGGGAGAACACAGAGCCCTTGGCTGCCGGAAGGTTCCAGTATGCCCTTGGCCTGGCAGGTGGTGGTGATGGAGCCATGATCCCCAAGAGACACAGGGCTGAGGGGACAGGGATGTGAGGCCCAACTTGGGTAGGCACTGGCCAGCTGGGTTATTTGGGCAAGCCTTTTACCCTCTCTCTCTCCTTTTTCCTTTTTTTTTTTTTTTTTTTTTGAGATGGAGTCTCCCTCTGTCACCCAGGCTGGAGTGCAGTGGTGTGATCTCGGCTCACTGTAACCTCCATGGCCCAGGTTCAAACGGTTCTCCTGCCTCAGCCTCCCGAGTAGCTGGGATTACAATGATGAGCCACCACACCCCACTTATTTTTGTATTTTTAGTAGAGATCAGATTTCACCATGTTGGCCAGGCTGGTCTTGAACTCCTAACCTCAGGTGATCCGCCGGCCTTGGCCTCCCAAAGTACTGGGATTACAGGTGTGAGCCACCGCACCCAGCCGCTTCCCTTCTCTTCCCTTCCCTCCAGTGTCTTCAGATGTAAACTCAGGAGAACTGAGTTGTGAGGATAAATCAAAATAAGGTATATATTCAGCATCTGGCACACAGCGAGAGAGAGTTGTCCATTCAGGACATAACCTGTGAGGTGCATATTGTAATTTCTTTACATTTAAATTTTACAAATAGGTTTCCCACTCACCCTTTCTTTTTTGTCCCCCACTTTGTCAGAGTCTTGCTCTTTCGCCAGGGCTGGAATCCAGTGCCAGGGCTGGAGTCCAGTGATGCAATCTTAGCTCATTGCAATCTCTGCCTCCCATGTTTAAGCGACTCACCTGCCTCAACCTCGGGAGACTGCAGGTGTGCACCACCACACCCAGCTAATTTTTGGCTTGGCTAATTTTTGTATTTTTAGTAGAAATAAGGTTTTGCTATGTTGGTCAAGCTGGTCTTGACCTCCTGGGCTCAAGCAATCTGCCAGCCTTGGCCTCCCAAAATGCTGAGATTAGAGGCGTGAACCCCTGCGCCCAACCTGACCATGTCTTTAAATTCATGTACCATTTTATGCCAGAGGAACTGGGACTCCAAAATGTGAAGTTACTTCCCCAAAGTAATAGGCAGTGACAGAGACATACTTTCCTAAACATTTGTTATTGAATTATATGCAGAAAGCTGCACAAATGATCACTATGGAGATGGCTGAATTTTTACACAGTGAATATACTTGTGTAAGATCCACCAAGGTTAAGAAATGGTGCACTGCAGAAACACCTCATGTCCTCACCCAGTCACCATCCTTTTCCTTTTTTTTTGGTGTCAGATGTCACCAGTGGCCAAATGCCAGTAATAGCAGGACTTTGGGAGGCTGAGGAGGGCGCTTCAGCTACAGAGGTCAAGGCTGCAGTGAGCCCTGATCACACCACTGCACTCCCCCTGGGCAGTGGAGCAAGACCCTTTCTCCAAAAAAAAAAAAAAAGCGTCAGTTAGGTTTATGCATTTCATTTACTTTTTTTTTTGAGACGGAGTCTCACTGTCGCCCAGGCTAGAGTGCAGTGGTGCGATCTCGGCTCACTGCAACCTCCGCCTCCCAGGTTCACGCCATTCTCCTGCCTCAGCCTCCTGAGTAGCTGGTACTGTAGGCACCTGCCACCACGCCTGGCTAAATTTTTGTATTTTTTAGTAGAGACAGGGTTTCACCATGATAGTCAGGATGGTCTCCATCTCCTGACCTCATGACCCGCCTGCCTTAGCCTCCCAAAGTGATGGGATTACAGGCGTGAGCCAACGCGCCTGACCCTAATTTACTTCTTTCACTCAAGTTATGTCAGTGAGATACATGTTATTGTGAAACCGAGAGCTAACCTGAATAAACTCACAAAACTTAACCTGCCTTGCTTGCTTTACATTGCTTGCTTCTGGTTGTTCTTAAAACGAGACGGGCAGATCACTTGAGGTCAGGAGTTCAAGATCAGACTGGCCAACATGGTGAAACCCTGTCTCTACTGAAAATACAAAAATTAGTTGGCGTGGTAGTGGGCACCTGTAATCCAAGCTACTTGGAAGGCCAAGGTGGGAGAATTGCTTAAACCCAGGAGGCAGAAGTTGCAGTGAGCCAAGATAGTGCCACTGCACTCCAGCCTGAGTGACAGAGCAAGACTCTGTCTCAAAAAAGAATAACAACAACAAAAACAAAACAACAACAACAAAAAAAACTAATGCTAGCTATGACCTGAGTCCATGGATGAGAAAGAAAAAAAAAAAAAAAAATCCCACTATTAAGTCATGTAGCCAAACAATACATAACTAAACTCCCACAAACTTCCTTATAGATAACATCTCTGGATGTTGGTCGCAATAGTAATGGGTGCTTAAAGGTTGTTTTTCAGGAACTGGAAGGCAGCTCTTGGTCATTTCCAGTCAGATAAGACCACCAGCCCTTCAACTGGGCCTGCATGGATGCCCGAAGAATGACCTTTTGAAGTCAGAGGCCCAAAAACCTCACCCTCAGATCATGCCAATGCAGCCATTTTCTGCACACGTGTGAAGAATGATGTAGCTTGATTACACTCTTGCAGAAACCCCAATTACCTCACCTTTCCTCCCTACCAACCATCTTTCCCCACACTTTAAACCACCCTGCTTTCTATTCCTTAAATACCCTCAAGCCCTGTATTTGGGGAGGTGGATTTCAGGTTTGTTCTCCTGTCTTCTCACACAGTAGCCTTGCAAATGAAATCTTTTCTCCCTTGCAAAACCCATCACCTCAGTGATTGGCTTGCTGCCTGAGGGCAGAATGAACTTGCTTAGTTAACAACTATAGAAGTTTGCGTATCATTTGACTATGTCACCATTTTTTATCCTTTCCACTTATTGATGGACATTTAGTTGTTTCCAGTTTGGTTTATTATTAGTGTGGCTAAGAAGACTCTCATACATACCTTTTGTGGAAACAGGTTATAGGCTAGATATGTTAGTGTGGAGTTGCTTAGGGTGTTCATACGTCCAGCTATAGGTGCTGCTGACAAACAGGTATCCAAAATGGTTGTACCAATTTACACTCCTCCAGCCAAGTATGAGGGTTCCACTTGCTCCACTTGTTCACCTCCACTTGGCATTGTCGTCTTCATTTTAGCTATTCTCATGGATATGTGTATTAGGGTTTTCCAGAGAAGCAGAAGCAAAAGACTGTGTGTGTGAGAGAGAGAGAGAGAAACTACAAGGTACACCAGCAAACTAAGAGATCTAGGGAAGAGTTGATGCTGCAGTTCCAGTCTAAAGGTCCTCTGCTGGCAGAATTCCCCCGTCTTCAAGTGAGCCCAGTCTTTTTCTTCCAGGCTGATATGGTTTGGCTGTGTCCCCACCCAGTCTCGTCTTGAATTGTTGTTCCCATGATCCCCACGCTGTGGGAGAGACCCAGTGGGAAGTAATTGAACTGTGGGGGAAGTTATCCCCATGTTGCTTTTCTCATGATAGTGAGTGAGTTCTCACAAGATCTGATGGTTTTATCAGGAGCTCTTCCACCTTTTGCTCAGCATTTCTCTTTGCTGCTGTAATGTGAAGGACATGTTTGCTTCCACTTCCACCATGATTGTAAGTTTTCTGAGGCCTCTCCAGCCTTGCCAAACGGTGAGTCAATTATACCTCTTTCTTTTATAAATTACCCAGTCTTGGATATGTCTTTATGAGCAGTGTAAGAATGGACTAATACACAGGCCTTCCAATGATTGGATGAGGCTCTACATATTATGGAGGGTAACTGCTTTACTCCAAGTCTACTAGCTTAAATGTTAATCTCACTAAGAAAAAAGAAATACCTCACGGAAACACACATCACTGTCTCGTTAGGGTTGGTAACTGGCACTTTGCTTTGTCTGTTTGAGAAGGTCATGGTTCCCTGTTTGCTGTTGTTTGTTGTGGATGTGCATCCATGTCTTTGCATGAAAGGTTATATTTTCCACTCTTCACATCCAGCTTGTTTTTGTCTTTCTAGGGTATGTTTGCTTAGAGATTCTTTGCAGTCCACCTGTTGAATCCTGTTTCCACTAGGACACTGCCTCCTTTTCCACACTAGATGGCCCCTTAAGCCCAGGTTTGCCTCACTTTCACAAACATTAGTAGCGCTGCCAGACTTGGATGGAGGGTGATGGGTCCCAAATGAAACACCCCAGCCATGTGGGAAGGCTGGGAGGGGGTCGTGCCCAGGGACCTGTGGAGCATGCCTCTCACAGGGTGGTGCTGCTGGAGAGCCACTGAACTGCCATCCTCCCCTCTTAGTCTCAAGCTGCC